AACTGAAACTCAAGGAGGTTAGCAAGTTGCCCATGAGCACGTAGTTAACAAGCTGAGATTCAAGCGCTAGCTGTCTGACTCCAGCAGCTGTGCACAGAAACTCCACACTGCACACAATATGTATGACATTTGAAATGAGAATTAAATGCATTAGAAAAATAAATTTACTTTAAACGTATATGTTACATGCATTCATACGTGTGTGTTTGCGTACATCACACCACAACACTAGTGCCTACTAGCTTTCATATCCCATTGTTGTTTTAAATCAAACAATCTGCTTTGTGCTTTCACGCACCTGGCTAGTAAGAAATTCACTGTCATTCATTTTTATGTCTCCTCACCACAACAGATCCACAGGATCATACAAAATTTCTGTGCTTCTCTCATGACACACGCCCAGGGAAAGAGCCCAGTCCATACTCCATGATTGTTATCTTTACTCTTGCTCTTTTGGCCACATTGATGTTAGTTTGGAATTCTGATCACTTCTATTTATCTGCTAGGCCCTGAGGCTTCAGACTAACTCAAAGCTGATTTTAAATACCTCTGCACTCATCACAGCCTCGGCCCTAGAAGCTTTCACTACTATTGTCAAGGCTTTAGTGTTCACAGTTTCAGGAGCAGTCTGCATGAGATATCTAACTTCCCTACTAGCAAAGCAAAGTAAAAGCCTTATGCTTTCTTGAAATCTTAGACCACTGTCCCTGGAATGCTTTCTTCTGTAGTTGAGCAATACTCTGTAGTCTTGCCTCAGGTTCAGATTCTTCTCATGAGTCCTCAATTCAGTATTGTAGCCCCCAGGGCACCCTAAAATGGTGGATAAGGGGGCTGTCCACATACCACTGTACTGGAAAGAGCACTGACATGTATACTAACAGAAGACTTTACAACAATTGAGTCTTCAGTGGCAATATTAAGTCCCCATCTCTTCTAGCTGGCAGAGTATGAAGCTGGGTCACTAAAATTATCTCTTTATGCCTGATTCCCCTCTCTCCTGGAGTGAATAGCCATTTTCCCCTCATTTTCTTCTTTAATGAGTTTTTAAAGTTGAAAACAGTTGAGGGGAGGGGTTCAGTTTCCAACAGGCTGAGCTCACAGTGGAGACTTTACTCAGAGCAGTCCCTCCCTGTGCCTGCTCATGCTGGGCTTGAGCCATACTCCCTGAGTCTAAGGCTCCTCTAGCCAAGGCCAAATCTCCAAAGTCTCTAGCTCAGAGGCAAAGTAGTAAACTTTTAACCAGGCCTCTGACTGGTATTTAAAAAGCTGATCTGCACAGAAGCTTATTCTAAACTAGTCAGACATGCAGCTGCAGCACCGAACACTTTATGAGACTTAAATAGCCTCAAACTCAAGATTCTAATCCCATTTCATCATTATTAGTGTTTCTTAACCTCAGACACCTTCCATTCCACCAGCAATGAATTTTCTCCAAATATCTTCTAGACCAACCCAAAGTTTTAACTAGTCAGACATGCAGCTGCAGCACCGAACACTTTATGAGACTTAAATAGCCTCAAACTCAAGATTCTAATCCCATTTCATCATTATTAGTGTTTCTTAACCTCAGACACCTTCCATTCCACCAGCAATGAATTTTCTCCAAATATCTTCTAGACCAACCCAAAGTTTTTTTTTCTTCAGAAAAACTCAGTTTGTGGGATTTATCTTTTTTTTTTTTTTTTTACTGGCAGCGTAGTCTTCCCTACTTCTCATCATAAAATTTCAGCTCACGTCTAAATGTTATTCAAGCTTCGAGCAATATGGAAGTTTTCATAGAAAAACACAGCGGTCTTCAACTTTTTTGGTCTGAATTTCAGCCAGAAATACAGTTTTCATTGTGATCCATTACACAAATGTATGTGCATTTATAAGTATGTAAAACATTTGTAATAAAAATAAAACAATATGGATTCTTACTTTATGTGATGCAATCAAATATTTCCATTATGTTCTATTCTATCTTCATTTGATGTGTTTAAGAAAAGCTTCTTGTGATTCTTCAAACCAATTTCATTTTTCACTAATGAGAACCAAAAAAAATTTGAAAAACACTCCTCTAGGACACTAGGAACATTGGCTCTTGTGTGTTCTTTTCTCAGATGTAGATGAAGTCATTTCTGAAGTTCAAAGTCTGAGACAAAGGATTTAAATTTCTTCTTTCATGCCATTCATTTCTCAGTAGTCTCTTGGGAATGGGAATAACAGAGAAATTCATTGTAAAAACCCAATTTATCTTACCTTATCGGAAATTCTGCTAATCATTATATATCTGCTCAAAGTTTTTAAAATACTTTATAAGTTCCTTTCACACTAAATCTCATCTCAGTCCACTGGTTTTCCCCAAATCCACAGGGCTTCATGAGAGTTCTCACTAACCATTAATTCTCCAACATGGTAATAGCCATTGACTCAAAATAACTCCCATTTCTAAGTATTTTTATTAGTCTTTCTTATCAATAGATGTAGCATGAATTTTTTTAATAATCTCTAATTTGTCCTACACATACTGGCATTAATTTTACACCATAATATTCATGTCTAAGAAATTTCATTTTGATTCATCCTTGTAAATCAAACATCTTCCAAGCCTCTACATAAATTCAATTCAGTCAATACTGGGACTCTTTCACATGAAACAAAAAAATCCTGAGTGCATGTGATTCCTGAATAATAGTACATCATGATTTCCTCCTTACCCTGGTTCCTTTAGCTTCACACTGCTGCAATTGAGCCGTGATGTTGACTGCCTCTCAGGTACTAGTTATCGCTGAGTTTAACCAAACTCAGAGATTAATTTCACTCCAATTCTTTCCATTGACTTCCATCTGACAGCACACAGCAATCTTCAAAACTACCCTCAATAATGCCCAATGAATGCCATCCGGACACAAGTTTTCATAGCAAACTGAAATGCCAAGGCTCCTTTTGTAAATCTCAGGTAACTTCATACTTTTAGACTAGCCACATATTCTGCTCCCACTGAAAACTTACTTTCATTGCGTAATTCTCTGGGAATTAGTCTCTAAAAAAAATGTGGTTCATTTCCCTCTTGAATGAATTACTTGTGGGAACTCAGACCTTTTAAAATATAATGAGGACTTCTGACTTGTAGGGAATGGGGTGGAAATGGAGAGAGAAGATGCTTTATTCTTTCTTGGTAAGAGTCCACAGCAGCTAGAAAACCTGAGACACAAAGTTGGTGTGTGTGTGTGTGTGAGAGAGAGAGAGAGAGAGAGAGAGAGAGAAGGAGGTGGGAAGATAGGAGATTCTGGCTACAGATTCATAGTAAGCCTTTAAGACTACCCTCTTTTAAATGATAGGAGAGACTTGATAAGACAGCATTGAGAAAAGTTGCACAAAGTCTTCGTAAACACTTTACTTTCCCTTTGTTTCACTAGATCATGCATGAAATTAGGGATTATTATTTATTACCTTAATTTCTAAAACCGCATGCCCCACTGAATAATCACAAGTTTGAAAGTAATACAATAAAGTATATAAATCAATATCTGGAGGAGAATTATAAAATCCTGCTTTCTATTACCCAAGAAGGAAAGAGTGTTCATATTTTTTGAAGAAGCGTAAGTGTTTGGGATTTTACCACCTCTGCATCTGTGAAACTTTAAAAGTGGATTTAGTCTAGAAGAACTGTGACAATAAATAGAACGGCAGCTAATCCTGTGTTCCCATCACGCCCAGGAAGAGTAGACATTTTAAGCAACAGAAAGAATTGATAAGAAAATATGGGACTAGATAAGCAAATGATCCCACCTTCCCTTGACTAAGAAGATATGACACTGATGACATCATATATAATAAAGAAGGTACTACATAATCAACTTCAGAAATAATTACCGATTTACTTCTGTGCATGGCACACAAGTAGAGTAAAATTGTTCTACTTTAATTAGTTGCATTACTATTCTTACTATCATGAGTATAATAGTGATGAGAATAAAATGTAATGATAAAGTTTCCCTACTTTTACTGAATAAGAGAGAGGGAAAAAATAAAATAAAATTGAATAGCCAGAAAAGTAAGAAAATTAAAACTTTGCTTTTGCTTGACATAGCAATTCCAGTGATCTAATTGATTCCACCTACATTTTTTCAGTTGGTTTCTTTTATTTTTTGAGGTTAACTTTGCAGTGGTGTTGCCAAGTTTCTGTTCAACTTAAGAGTGCTCAGTATGGTTAAATGGTCAGTTCTAAAATTATTAAAAACATATCTGGTTTTCTTACAGATAATGAAATTTTTGTGTACTCATAGGTGTGTACAAACAAAAACACACACAAGCATGAGTGACAACAGAATGAAAGGAAAAGGAAAAAAAAAAGCTTACCTTAGAATGTGTGTAAGAGGCCCAATTACTCATATAACTGTTTTAGTTCTTTTTGAGTGTAAAGCTAGGGCTTACAGACCCCTCCAGTCTGTTGCACAGATTGGGTTACAAACCCTCTACACGCAGGTCTGTGAGCTAGGTAATAGGAAAAAAAAAAAAAAAAAAAGGTTCTGGGAGCCTTGGGTATAGAAAAATGAATGTGTTTTATTCAGACGTAGGAGCAACTGTCCCAGTGGCTTCTCTGAGAATTCTGAGAAGCACTGTGGATCAGAGCTGTTAGTCTTTTATACTTAAGCGCACAACCCTGGAAACCTGGGTGGCCATACAGAATTTACATTAAGTAGTAACAAGGAACACATGAGGCTATCTACAGCAAATGCTCGGCAAGATTCTGAACATCTGAGGGGCCCTGACATTTTCCTATTTTTCCCAACAATCCACCCCTTTAGGGTCCCTCACCGTACAATCTACATGTTCAGAATCTTCCACGATGTTCCCTTAGCAAGTATAAGGGACCCTTATATTCATACAATCTATCGTCTGTCCATTATGCCTTAAGGCATGTCCTTAAGGTTTGTCCTGTAGTTTTGTTCTTTCAATTATTAGCTGCACATGTCCGGTTAGTAGTCATCATTGGTATGAAGTTCAGTGTATATTCAATAAGCCAACACATCAGTCACACGAACGTATGTCTGTATCCAGTTGACTCTGGTGCTCACAGTCAGAACGCTATGGGGGAAAAGACAGAAGGGTTATTGGTACCAATAGGGGGAGTTCTTGCGCCTCTGGTATGATACATGCTAGTTTGCCATCCTGGGAAAGGATGGTTGCAGCAATAGGCATCTTACCTGGTTTATGATACCATACATTACCTGCTAGTACTTCTGGATCTGCAGGTTCTATACGAAACAGTACAGGGGAACCCATAATTGGCCATAATGATAATACAAATGTGCCCTTTGAATAGAGCACTTATCTATTCCAGGCCATGTTACCTTTACTCAAGGAGGCCAAGTACTTGTCACCCAAGGTGAAATCTGCAAGTCTTCTTCTAATCCTTTCTCCCAAGGCCCTATTAGGCCTACCCAGCATATATGGGGGGCTTCTATTTTCCAAGGCTATTCCCATTGTACTGTCTGTCACTGCTGTAAACAGGTTGGGGCTGGTAAGAGAATATTTCCATTCTTGCCATATCTTGGCTTCAAAAGCTTGTCTCTAGCAGTGACTTGCAGCTGTACAGATGCTGCAGCCCTATGCAACACAGCTTCTACTGCAGAGGGCCTGCCCTTGCAGGGTCTCTCATTTAGAATCCTGACTGTCAGCCATAACTGCCACGTCCACCCCTTCAGGGAGGGGGTTGGACAGATAGCCTTAGCCCCTTTTTTAAAAGGCCATTGTAGGGCCGGCCCGGTGGTGCACTGGATAGTGCGCCGCTTGGGAGCGTGGAGGCACTCCCGCCAAGGGTTCGGATCCCATTTGGAGACCGGTTCCCGCTCACTGGCTGAGCGCGGTGTGGGCGCAACACCGAGGGGTGCGATCCCGTTACCGGTCAGTAAAAAAGACAAAAAGGAAAAAAAAAAAAAAAAAAAAAGAAGAAGAAAGCTTGGGCTGGCCCAGTGGCACACTGCTACAAGTGCACCGCTTGGGAGCGCAGAGGCACTCCCACCGAGGGTTCGGATCCCATTTGGAGACCGGTTCCCGCTCACTGGCTGAGCGAAGTGCGGGAGCAACACCGAGGGTTGCGATTCCGTTGCCGGTCCCGGTCCGGTTCGGGCGCGACACTGAGGGTTGCAATCCATTGCCGGACACGAAAAAAGACAAAAAGGAAAAAAAAAAAAAAAGGCCATTGTATCGCTCAATCATCCCTGCTTCCTGGGGATGATATGGCATATGTAACTTGCACTGAATAGACAACTGGGAAGCCCACTTCTGAACCTCAGGTCCAATAAAGTGGGTTCCATTGTCACTCTCTGTAGGCCAGCCATACATGGCCGTAAGGCTATTCAATGCCTTCACAGTGTTTACCTGGTCTGGGGCCTTACGAGGCCATACAAACAGAAGACCAGTAGCTGCATCAACAGCAGTAAAGATGTATCTGAAATTCTCTGACCTTGGCAGTGGTCTGACAAAGCCTGCTTGCCATCGAGTCAGGAGCACCCTTCCTCGAGTTATTTGCCCATCTATATGGGGTACCCGCCAGGTGTGTGGACTCTCTTGAGTACATACTGGACAAGCATGACAGGCATTTACTACATCTTCCCATTTTATAGGCAAGGCCCATCTTTGAGCCGCCATCCATATGGTTTTGCTGCCAGCAAGCTGCATTCATCGATGTAACCTTTGGGCTACATCAGGAGCTGGGGCTCTCTCCAGCCATCTTACCTTAGCCAAGGCATCAGCTTCATCATTTCCTTGACTGGCTAGGGGGAAATGTCCTGTGACATGGAAAAGGGTTACTTCTTTCTCATGCCCCAATTCTCATAACTCTTGCCACATGGCTTGTCCCCAAAGGAGTTGGTGACCTACCATCCACCATTGATATTTCCAAGTAGAAATCCAAAGGGTTAAACCTTTGTACAAAGTGCAGCTGTCATTACAGGTGGTTAATGGCCCAGGCTCATTTTTTATTACCATCCAAACAGCTTTCAATTCTGCCCATTGACTGTTTTGCCCTGTGCCATTTTCATACCACATATTATCTGTTAAGGGCTGGACAGCAACAGCTGTCCATGATGCTGAGGGTCCCATGTTAGAGCCATCTGTATACCAAGCTTGTTTTGTGATAGGTCCCTGTCCCTCATGGAAAGGTGTAGCCTCCACGTCCATGGGTAAGGGTTGTGTCAAAGTTTCCTCCACAACCTCTACTGGGCCTAGCACAGCTTGCAACTCTTTGTACAGAGGACACATTGACAAAGTGCTTCTTTGTTCTATATATGCTCCCCACTTAGACAGAGTGGGAGTCTGAGCTACACCTGTTTTAGGATTGGTTGCCCACATGTGCAGCCAACCTAGTATGGGATATGCTGTCCTTACTGGGACTTTGGCAGTTCCTGTGATAGGTTCAGTGGACATCAAGGCAGAATATACAGCTGCTAGCTGTTTTTCTATTAGAGAATAGCATACTTCAGCACCCTTCCAGAGCTGAGACCAGAATCCTACAGGTGTTCAGAATCAGTCTTGTCTCTGCCACAAACCCCATCCTAACCTCTCTTGGGTGATATTTACATCTAATTCAAAAGGTTTAGTGGAATCAGCCACTTGTAAAGCCTGTACTTGCTGTATTGCCCTTTTTGTAGCCCAGTAAGCCTGCTCTACTTCTTCAGTCCAATCCCAGGGGGCTCCTTTCTTTGTTAATGCATACAGTGGGCATGCCATTTGAGCCATATGGGGTACAAAAGCTCTCCAATACCCCAGAAATCCCAAATATGTCTGTAGCTGAGCTACAGTTGTGGGTCAAGTGTTGCCTGTATCTTGTCTACAATAGCTTCTGGGATGGCCCTTGTCTTACCTGACCAGACCACTCCTAAGAATTTGACTGACAGCCCAGGTCCTTGCACTTTGGCTGTGTTCACAGCCAACCCACATTGTTCCAAATGGCTTAGCAGCATTGGAGCTGCCTGGGTTAAATCTGTAATAGAATCAGAGGTTAACAACATTATCAATGTAGTGAAACATCATAACCGTGCTGGGCTTTGTCCACTTGACTAGTTCCCCAGACACTAAACCATGACAGATGGTTGGGCTATGCAGATAACCTTGGGGCAATACTTGAAAGGACCACTGCCTCCCTTCCCAGGACCCAGGTGAAGGCAAACTGATCTTGGCTATCGGCCGAGATTGGAATAGAGAAGAAAGCATTTGCAAGGTCCAGTACATAATGGTAAGTTCCCAGCTGAGTCACCAACTGATCCATCAAGTTGTGAACTGAAGGCATGGCTGCATGCAAAGGAGGCACCATTTTGTTTAGTTCTCAATAGTCTACAGTTATTCTCCAGGTACCATCAGGTTTTTTCACTGGCCATACTGGAGCATTAAATGGGCTATGAACTGGATGAATAATGCCAACTTTTTCTAAGTCCAATATAGTGGCAACTATCTCTGCATGTCCTCCCAGTAGGCGATACTGCTTTACATTAACAACACGTCTTGGCTGGGGTAACACTTGTGGGTCATGTTTAGCATATCCCCGTAACACAGGCTTTATTGTCTGTATTCGTAGCTGAAACTCTCCAACTGTTGTTCGCAGGTGCAAGCCATAAAGTACATCCATACCCAAGATGTACTCAGCTACTGGGGATATATACAGTATACACATGAGGGGGCAATCGTTCTATGCTTAATGGCAGTGACACAGCTTTGACTTCAGTCCTCCATATCCATCTATATGAGCTGTGGCTCCTGGAAACTTATCTGGATTGCCATATATCGGGCTACATTCTGTGCCTGTATCTACCAATACTAAAACATGCTGCACATTAGTCCTTGACTAGTGTATTGCCAATTCAACGTGAGGCCTCTGGTCCTCACCTGCCCTCAAAAGATGAGCACCTTGGCCTGTTCCCTAATCAAACTAGAACATTTCATCCACCTCCTCAGAATCAATCAAAAAATCCTTTAAGTCTACTGAGTGCACTTTGCTACCTGTTTCTGGATGTTTAGTGAAACGCTGTTCAGGGCATAATTTCTGCCACAAGGCAAATGGGACCACATTTGGCTGCTGGTCAATTTTCTTGCTATCAACCCCCGCTGCAAGCAAGTCAAACCACGTCTGCTTAGGGCTAATCTTGCTTGGTCGCCTCAGGATAAGATCCTGATCATTTCTTAGGGGCTGAGTCTTAGCCATCTTCCAGACCTCCTTTGCTTGTCTTTTCTCCTCTACTTCACCCAGGCTAGCTATTAACTTCATGTATAGGATGACCAAGGTATGAGGACAGCATGTCTGTTATGCTGCCTATAAAATTTTCATCGTCTGGGCCATGGGTGTTCACATTAAACATGGACAGCCTCATCCCCAGCTCCCAAATTATTTGATCCAAGTCAGTATATGTTTGCCATTTACTTACAGTCTTGGGCAGTTCTCCAGCATTTGCCCACATGGTTTAGGCAGCTGCTCTCACCTATTCCATTAAGGAGTGATTATCTGGCCTTTGTGCATATCTACAGCTATTCTGCAGCCACTGCCTCAGGGATGGGTCCATGGTAATAGAGGCCAATTTTTCCATCTCCTCACCAGAGCATATCACACTATCCACCCCTAGGTCCCATAACCACAGCAGCCACGCATCTAGGGGCTCCCCCTGTTTCTGCCAGAACTGTCTCCCTAAATCAACTAATTCAACCTGGATATATGGGACATAGGTAGTGAATTCAGTTACCTGTGGATCACCCTCCAGTTGTCCACCTGGTACTACAGACTGCTCATGTTTCAATTTCTGGTGCACAACACGTCATGCCTGGAGACTCAAAGTCTCCTCTAACTCACCACTGGGTTTGTCGTTCTTCCAGGTGTGAGAGGCAGGGGTGCCCAATCACAGCATATCATAATCCAGACAGATTATCCGAGCTTCCAACAGCTCTGCTTTTTTCTTTATATCTCAATCAGTTTGTATCATAGTGAGCAGTAGCCAGGCTCTGGTCAGTAGAAAAGTGGCCACCAGACACCATATACTCAAGGATAGCCATATTTCCTCCCCCTCCGAAGGGGTTCTCCAAGGCTGCACTGCTTCATGGAGTGCCTGGTCTATGCTGACTTGTAGTATACAAAGCAGCAACCAGATCCCAGTCAACAGGAAAGAGGCCAGAGGGCACAACATATTCAGGAGTAACCACACTTCCTCCCTCTCCAAGGGGCTTTTGGATCCTGTACCTACTCAAATATCCTGCCAACTACACCAATTGTAAAGGTAGGGCTTACAGACCCTTCCAGTCTATTGCACAGATTGGGTTACAAACCCTCCACAAACAGGCCTGTGAGCTAAGTAACAGAAAAAAAAAAAAAAAAAAAAAAAGGTTCTGGAAGCTGTGGGTATAGAAAAATGAATGGGTTTTATTCAGATCTAGGAGCAACTGCCCTAGTGGCTCCTCTGAGAATTCTGAGAAGCACTGTGGATCAGAGCTGTTAGTCTTTTATACTTAAGTCCACAACCCTGGACAACTGGGTGGCCATACAAAATTTACATTAAGTAGTAACAAGGAACACATGAGGATATTTACAGCAAATGCTCAGCAAGATTCTGAACATCTGAGGGGCCCTGACATTTTCCTATTTTCCTAACATTAAGTTTATATTAATTTTTTTTATATTTTATTTTTTTTATTTTGTCAAAATACAATGTGGTTGATTATTGTGGCCAATTTCTGATTTTGCTAATAATTTTTGCTAAGTTATTTTGCAGTAATAAACAGTCCTGATATCATAGTGACAATAATCTTACAACAACAAAGGTTTGTTTTTTACTCATTTCTTTTCCTTTACAGCTCAGCCATGGCTTTCCTTTGCATTGTCTTCATTGAAGGACTGAAGCTGAAAGAACAGCCCTATCTTGTTCCTACTGCAAAAGAAGGAAAGCAATGTTGGGACATAAACTGCTCTTAAAGCTTCAAGTCAGCAGTGTTACATATCACTTTCACTCATACTGCATGGGTCAGAGCTACTCAAATAATCAAACCATACTTTAAATGGGATATGAAGCATGAATACAATCCTCTCCAAAGGGAAAGACACTGCACATCACCTGGCAACAGCAATGATGTATTCATGCTGTCTCTGCAGGTATGGGACTAAAGAGTCAGGAATAACAATGCAATCTACCACAGAGTACTTGTCGATATTTTATTCCCTACAAATTCTATTAAAATTGTATTCTAGAGTGATTTAAAATAGTAATACCTGGTTTACAGGTATAGTTGGTTTTACATCATTAAAAGCATACTTCTGGGCTTACTTATTTTCTGTTTATTTGTAACTCAACAAAAAAGGAAAGGAAGGTAAGACTAGTATGCAAAAATTCTAGTTAGAGAACTTTTACTAAAAAACCAAAGACTGCTCCTGCTGCTAGTTTGCTATGAGTTTCCATAACCTATCAGATGAAATCTTCAATATTATGTGCATAGATGAATAACACATAGCAGGAGAATAACTCTCAGCCATGTTGTTTTCTCTCTATTCCTTCTAGCTGAAGAGAGTTTACTGAAAATACTCCAGAGCACAGATAATTAAACTAAGAGGGACTCTGGGCTCTGTATATCATCTGCACATAAAAAGAGGGGGTATTGGGTATTTCTCAGATACACCAAAGAGAATTCAGTCAGTCATCACCAGTAATATCACCTGCTAGCACCTGCACTGAACACCAGCTGGAGAAATAGCAGTTTTACCAGCATTGGCTTAATTCCAATCAAGGAGCTAACTGGAAATGACAGTTCTTACCAATCTGCACTTGAGAAATGTGGACATTTCTTAGCTTTTACAGAACATTCAGGTTCAGTTCTCCCTTTTGTTTCTGGAAGAGTAAGACCTAACTATGATCCAGGATGCAGAAGAAAGATGAATGACATTTCTCCTTACACATGAAAAGAAAGACGTGTATGACAATCAGAGCTGCTGAGGCAGGCTACAAAATTGTCATCCTTCCTCAATTTTCTCCTCTTCCTAAACTTGTACTTCTCTGGCCCATGTCTTCTCAGGTTTTTTGCTCTTATATATTTGCTTGCAAGGATGGTGGTTGTCATAGATAAAGTTAATTTTATTTTCTCCCTATGCTCTCAATACAGAGGTGCATAGAAAATAATATGTTAAATCATTTTGTAATATTTGGGCTAGAAGTTTGTCAGGAAAAAAGATTAAAAGTAATAGAGTTATAAAAGGCATTAATTTATATGTACCACCTGCCTCTTCCAATTAATATGGGCATTTGAGAAGCAGCTTTAAGCATACTCTGTAAACATATATACTAATGCTGAAATATATATATATATATATATATATA